AGCGTTCTCTCGTTATCTAGAGCATGAATTTCCGACATCCTGGCTGCTGTTGCTAGGGCTAGCAGGAACAGCGTTTTCTGTGTCAAGAATTCGAAGGATGTCGTCTCTAGTGGTTTGTAGACGTCACTTGTGAGATGTCTGAGAACGATATTGAGGTCCCATGCCGGAGCTTGAAATCTCTGTTTTTGGCCCTCCAATTTATAAGAGCGTAACAAGGCCAGTAACTCTGGTACTTTCGTTAGCTTGGAACCGTCCTCATAGTGATAACTGAGCTCAATGCCGCTAGGTATGTTGAGAGTGTAGACCCTTTTAGTCGCTTTGTTTGCCGTAGGTGACAAAGATAGTCCGCCACTTGAGGATGTGTTGCTTTTCTAGCTGAAAATCCATTTTTAGCAGCATAGGTCTCAAAGCTGCGCCACTTGTCGTCGTACAAGTTGCGTGTAGAATTGCGTAAAGCAAGCGTGACTGCTTTCGCCACTCTGGCAGAGTACCCTCTCTTGTTTAAACATGCCTTGATACAGTCGACATGTGTAGTTGGAATGCCCTTGGGTTGCCGTGCGCCTGCTTTGTGTGAGGATGTACTAGTAGATTCGACCGATCTGGTAGTTGCAGTATTGGTGGTCCGAATTCTTGTATGAGAATGGGGAACCTGGCCAGTAGGGCGCGACCAAAATCAGTTGGATGTTCCTGTCTGGCTGATTTTCTGTAACACCCTCGGTAGTAGCACCGGCGGTGGAAACGGGTACGCGTTGAGGCCTTCCCAGGATATGCTGAGAGCGTTTGTTGCCCACGCTCGTGGATCTGGGACTGGAGAGACGAATGTTGTTAGCTGATGTTGAAGCGTGTGGCGAATAGGTCTATCAACGTAGCTCCTATTTCCTGGATGATCTGTGTGAAGATCTCTGGATGGAGCATCCATTCCGTCGGCGATGGTTGAGTTGGACGGGAGAGTGCGTCTGCTAAGACTGGAATGTGACATGCTCTTACGTTGGATGTTCAGATCGTCGATTAGGTCGAACAGTTGAAAGCATAGATCCAGTAGGTTCAATGATCTGGTTGAGCCTTGCTTGTTTATATAAAACGCCAATGTAGAGTTGTCTGTGTGTACCATGAGATGCACATTCTGTAGAATGGTGCTCTAATGGAGTATGGCGTTGATGACTGCTTTTATCTCCAGCATGTTGATGTGCAGACTTCTCTCTTCCTGGTTCCATATCCCGGCTGCCACATAGTTGTTGAGATGTGCTCCCCAACCTTGGAGTGACGCGTCCACGTATAGATGGGTCTTGAACTCCGGCTCTGCTAAATAGATGCCTTCGCAAACATTCGACCTCCGGGTCCACCATAGTTGATGAGGTCTTAATTCGGGAGATCGAAGGGTTCTAGGTCGTCGAGATGAGTGTTGATGAGGACCTGTAACGGGTGTAGCTGTAGTCTGCCTCTGGCTGTCATGTCTTGTGCGGACGTGAGGAGACCCAACAGACTCTGCCAATGTTGTAGTGGCAACGGAGAGAGTAAGGCTTGAGGGATTGTCTGTAGAATCTTGAGCCATTGGTCCTCTCGCACGACGATCCGGTTCTGTGTCGTGAGAAATCTGATGCCTAGAAACTGCAGGTCCTGTGTAGGTTCTAGGTCTGACTTGAGTAGATTCACTAACCATCCTAGCTGAGTGAGTAGATTGATGGTGAAATTCAACTGTAGTCTGAGACGCTCTGGATCTTGATCTACTTGAATCCCATCATCGAGGTAGAATATACTGCGTAGCCCTTGATGATGTAGATATGTGACTATGGGTTTCGTTACTCTTGTAAACAACCATGGGGCCGATGATATTCCAAATGGCAGGACCTTCCATTGGTAATGTAGCCCGTCCAGTGTAAATCTGAGGTACTTTCTCTAGTCGGGATGAATAGGGATATGCAGGTAGGCATCCTTCAGATCTATGCTGGCCATGTAGTCCATCGTACGGACGAGGTGGATTTTTTTAGGTAGATGTATCATGCGGAACGTGGGAGGTCTGCATAGATAATCCCTGTTGAACGTGCTCATATGGTAGATGAGTCGGAACTTTATTTTGGAGTTTATCTTTGGAACCAGGAAAACTGGGGAGTAAAAACCTGGTGTGATGTTGACTGGATCCACGATTTCTATGGCCCGCTTGGTTAAAAGAGATGAGACAGCCCCTCGTAACTGCTCTATCTGATGTGTCTTGAAGTCGAACTTGTGAGGGTTGACTGTAAGCGGTGGAGCGGCCCGTAGTTGAATGCGATATCCGTGTCTTAGGATGTTGGATATGCATGGATTTTGTAGTATTCCCCAGTTTTCCCAGTGTAGTTGTAAACGTCCACCCACTTGGGAAGGTTGTACAGGAACGGCTTGGGGTGGAAGACTCCAGTCGTTCCGAACCCGTCTTTCATCGTAGATAATCCCTGGAGCCTCTGGGTGCCCTGCCTCGTCCGATCTTGCCCTGTAGTTGCCGGTATGGCGGCGAAAAGTGTCTTTCCCGCCTCTGGAGCTACCCACATTCTTGTCCCGTGCCCTCTGTATTCCAGGAAACTTGGATCTTCCTGAGTAACGCTGGGATGTTTGCCTGATGACGCTGGCCAGAGTGTCTATGGACTTGATCATTAGGACTTCTCTTGAATCTTTAGTAACTTCCTTAGCAACCTTGTCGATTTCTCCAGTGAAGATGGAAGGAGTTCACCACCGGGCTGTGTAGAGTGACTTGGTAAACTGTTCACTCCAACTGCAGGAGGCGAGGAGACCTTGTCGACGAGCCAGTGTGAGTGCTGCAGAGATAGATGAGAGGTGGTCTGTCATGTACTGTTGGTCCTTCTTATGCATAAGAAGGGCCGAATAAATCATTCTATCTTCTTCCGCAGTGGAGTCTCGAAACTTGGCGATGAGCGTTTCGTTGACTGCCCGAGATCTGTTGAGGCCGAAAAACATCCGTCTGGTGATAGTTTCCATTTGAGCCAGCTTCCTGTCCTCAATCTTGTAAGACTTGGCCTTGGCATCGCTAATGACCTTGAAATTCTCGTCTATGTCCTGAGCTTTAAGGAAAGGATCCATGTTATGGGAGGTGAACTTCCTGGCGTTGAACTGTGGTAGGTGCGGCGCCTGGGCTTTAGTGGCTGTCTTGAAAGCTGCGTCCAGGTTCTGTGGAACCGCCGCGATGGGATCAATCGGGGGCAGAGTAAGCGTGTCGACATCATCCTCTCTCATAAGATAAGTGTGAGCCGGATTATCGTCTTTCGATGGTGAAGCCAAGTCCTATCCATTAGCCATCCAGATGCCGCCATCATCCTCAGTAACAGGAGTGCTGAGTAAGGGACGTTGATACTCCTCCGATGGTGAACGAGGTGGAGTCCTACGTGACTGTGGTTACCTAGGTGGAGATCTGCACGGAGACCTGAACATTGATCGTCCGAGTCCGAAGCAGGAGGGGATCTTGTTGGCCTTCGCGAACGCCCTTCACGGATGCTGATCATCTGAGTCCTCCGCAGGGGATGGTTGAGACGACCTTCGCGCAGGCTGGTCTGGGAGTGCAGTTCTGTTGGCAGAAGTCACGTTGATGGTAGGTCCCTCAGAGATGATGTCTGCGTTGGAGCCTTCGCGAAGGCTCGGGGCCTGGGCTGACTGTGACTTCTTTTCCAGGCCATAACATTCTTCCATCAGCTCCATGATCTGCTTGGAGAACTGCTGCATAAAGTTGCCCTGGTTGAAGGTCTGCGGTGGTACTGGCGCTGCCCTTCCTGCGGTGATGGCGACGGGGCCCACTGGACAGTCATCTGTTGTCAGCGTTGATACCTCGGGTGAGAAGAAATCTGCGCTGAAGTCACCGTAGCTGAGACTGGTCGTTTCTTGCGATGAACCTCTGGGATGATGATCGGCTGATCATTATACAGACCCTGTTCTGTCAAGGGAACAATCTTGGCCGAGAAAGTTCTGGTTGTCTGCGCTGACTTCCATTTGGTGGTGAACGTTGCCCTGGGGGTGCGGAGTCTGCACTGGGTGTTTGACTATCACCGAGTCTTAGACTGTGACGACAGGATGTCTGGAGAAGCAGGTCTCTTCTTGGAGGTGGCAGACTGCATCCCACACCTCTCCTCCGAGGGAAACTCCAGCGGAACACCAGACGGTAGGGGGTCGTCAGACAGCAGTTGACTGGTGAGGGACTCAGCTGAATTATCCATGACTGGATCAACCCTTCTCGACCTATCTGCGGTACGTCTCAGGATGCAAAGAAGGTATTTATTAAAAGCACAAGTAGATAAATGCTTGCAAAAATCGCAGCGTGAGCTGAAAGAACATGGTACCGTGCACATAGGGCATATTAGGTGCGGGTCAGCCGCAGAGAAACGTAACTTACATTTGGAACAGATTTTCATGAATGTAAACTACTGAACAAACACGGACTACACCGTGAATAAACAGTGCTAAATACGATAAAATATCAAATCATATTGATGAAGGATACTAGCTAAACCTCTATAATTAACTAACTAAGTAATGAAAGGATATAGTGTCGTAAGGAGACACAGGCGCTCTCACAACCTGCTCACTGGGCGAAGAAGGAGAGAGTGAAACATGTGGGGGAACGGTGGCGCCAGTTCCCGCCAAAACGGGAAGGAGGGATAACTCTTGGTGAGTAGTGATAGGTAATTTTACGTACGTTTTATTGAAGGGAACTTCAATAAGGAGATACAAGTGTTCCACTATGTTTGCAAGAGGAAGAAGACAAGCAATTAAGCATGAGTCAGGATATGGAAAAATAATATGCTATTTTTGAAATTCAACACTAAGAGTAATTATCCGACTTTTGCATTTCAGTACATGCACCAAAGAAGGCTGTGAATCGCCATTTCGTAATAAGTAAAAAAATGGCAACATTTCTTATGAACCCTATTTGGAGAGGCCATGTTCCGTATACCTAGTTTTGTTTAAGATAACAGTTGATGGTATCACGAAACAGGCAATGTCCCGCAAAATTCGAAACTGTGAAGTGTATTTGAATGCCTGATATATTTGGAATTTTATTGCACTTCAAAGTGAGGGTTGAAGAGGGAGGACATGTATGTCCCTGTGGCATTCGGGGTTAAACATTATGGTATTATTTGCATACTGTCAGCTTAATACAGAATTAATTGTCTTTTTATTGTATTTTTCACTTCACAGTCTGAAAACAGCTTTTCATTCTTGAAGAAACATTACAAATCAGTATAAAACACGTCACAATTTAATTCTGGACTCACAAAAGTCCAGAAACTCTCCGCACTGTGGGCACTTTCTGACAAGGGTTTTGACCAAATGGAACATGCAGTTGTTATTAATACATGCCAAGGATGAAAAAATGCACACAAAAAATGTCGAAAACTTGCAATTTACACTCGCTCGCCCATGGGCAGGCCCATGGGCCACTGTTCGCCCATCGGCAGGCCCATGGGCGAGCGAGTTGAAATTGACAGTTTTCGAAACATTTTGTTTTCATTTTTTCATCCTTGACAGCGAAAAAAAAAGATGAAAAAATGAAAAAAAAATGTTTCGAAAACATTTTTTGTGTGCATTTTTTCATCCTTGGCATGTATTAATAACAACTGCATGTTCCATTTGGTCAAAACCCTTGTCAGAAAGTGCCCACAGTGCTGAGAGTTTCTGGACTTTCGTGAGTCCAGAAATAATTGTGACGTGTTATACATATTTTATTATTGGTAGTAACTGAGATTGTTAGTGGCTGTACCCTCAAAGGGGGTTGAAGTAGCGTAAAATTATTGTCCTCCTGAGAGGGCACGTAAGTCCCAAAACTTTCAAAGTTAAATTTTTGCTAACCCAAGTTTTAAACGTATTGTATTTGTTCCTTTCGGCTTAACTTGTCCTACAATCGTCAGTGGCTGAAGGGATGGTGTAAATCCAACTAGGGTCCATGCAGGTAGCAAAGGCACTGTAAGTCCCCATGGTCCCTGGTATGGTGATCTACCTTCACTTGTTGGCGATCTATAGCCCAATTTTACATTGTATTGTCCAGAAATAATTTTCTACTTTTAAAGATATATGCTAGCTAGTTTTAACTCAATCTGTGATAATCTAGTGGTTTTACTGTCCTTCGTTGACAGGGTTTTATCTGTATGTATTACAAATTAAGAACTAGTTTTAGTCACGATATGACTGAAATATTGCCGATGTGACTTTAAATCTTAACTGACTGACTGACTGACTTACGTCAGCGATGTGAGAGATTACCTCACAGTCTTTGAAGGTCCATTTATATTCGTTTTCGAAGGACATCTGACTTTCGCCCCATACATCCTGCAGTTGACTCAAGAAGGAACGTTTGCCAACACCAGCCTTTCCTACAAGCATAACATGCAGTGCTGATTTCGGCGTGTCAGACAAGTTCATATTTATTGGTTAATTGACTTCTTCAGAGTATATACTATAAACAATCTACACGTCCTCGTTTGCTGCCTTTACTAGTGTTCCTCTCAACGGACTTCGTATGCAGCATTTGTCGCCATTCTCATATTTACACACCGTTGTGTTTTCGTGACGTACACAAGGCTAAAGTGTGAATTGTATTTCGCAACTTTCCTCAAGCCGTCAATGCAATTTGTTTGATATCTCTGACGTTTCCCTTAAATGCTCATGAACTATAGATGGTACTTTGTGACCACTGAAATTGTTTGCTCATGTGTACAACACAGGAATGTGACAACGTGAAACATTTCTTCAACTCATAAAACACGAGAAGAAATGGTTCGTGTAAAACAATCGGAATTGCTTGAGACATTATCTTGGTGATAAAACTCGTGAGAGTCTACTGAGGCATCGAATGATTTAATCTTGACAAAAGAAAACAATAGTCGTTTGTCGTTCTTAGTAAAAGATTTTTGATGTCAATATCAATACATCAGGTACTGATTTATCGAGGACGTGAGATTTCGCCTGTTTGTCAATTTTCAGCTCAACGTTATAATGTACAGTCCGCAGTTCCTTAAAATGAACCCATCTAGGTACTAGAAGAATTGAGACAAGAAGATGAGGTGATGTGATATCTGTGGTCAGAATATCTTGTGACTGAGCTGAATGATTTTGTATGTAATAGTGGTTCTGTAAATAATAGTGCTTATCGATTCTTTTGCATGGACTAAACTATATTTTGATATCATATTGTGAATAACTACTAAATAGTGCTGAGGCAGCAGCTGTTGTTGTTCCATGAAGTGTGACTTGGGAAAATGTTCGAATCCACGAATTTCTCAATCTTGGTGGAGAGCTCATATTCTGTGCAATATTCTGATGACATCGGTGACGGATCCATAATGCTCTGAAAAAACATTGCTGTCTCTACCCCATGAGTCTAGTGAGAAGAAGCTGTTGGGCAGAGCTCTGGAGCCAAGATGAAGAATTCCACTCAGGAATAGAAGCTTCTTCCTGTCGATGTAAGCTTCTTTTGGATGCCAGCCTAACAAGCCCTGGCACATATCATAACGTGTTCTGTTCGGAAGTCCCTGTATGATTTTGATGCAGTGGTGTTGTGCCCTCTCTAACATCTTCATCGCTGTAGGCGTGATGGAGTTCCAGAGCTCACACCCATTTAGTGATTTTGGAAGACAACATATTGATAAGTTTGGCGCTTCTCATCGGGTTAATAACTGATTTGTCAGTACCATACTTTATGAGTAATGTAAAACGTCTTTTGAGATTGCAGGCTGAAACAGTTCTTTCCATGCTGTTGAGGGTCTTGGAGAATACCCACATGCTTGACACTACACCATACAGGTGGTTCTTTGATAGGGTGAGTCTTCCTGTGTGTACTTCATCACCAGGCTTGTTCATGAAGATCACAGTGCTCTTTGAGAGAAGATAGGGAATTCTTGGACTGATGACATCTATGTCGTCTGCTTTTAGGTCGAGGACTACAGCTGCTTTGTTTGTTCAGTAATTTGTTTATATAAAGAAGATATAACTTTTACAAAGATCCATCTTAAACTCACTTCATGAAAATGACTTATGCTACACTGGAACAACATGTAAGTCTATAGAAATTACGTCAAAGTGGCCCAATATACCTGGCACGAGTCTGTAGGTTTTGACAGCCGAACGGAGAGTGAAGTAGATCTGTCAAATGAAGGCGAACAGTCAGGTGTCACTACTGCAAGACACATATTTCTAAATTTCTAATCTGCTACGTATACCAATTTCCGATTTTGCAAGCTGTTGTATGAGCTCCCGCTTAATGGTTTGTAGAAGTATACTCATGATATTGATCACTGGATTTTCTGATCCAGACTCGATTATTTACAGATTCCCGCCATATAGCTGGAATAATATAGAGTGTGGCGTTAAAGAACAAACATTCCAGCCACCCGTTCAATATTAGCACCAAAGCGGACAGACATTTGTCCACCATTAGTTCTTGCTTAACGATGTGCAGGTCAATAGTAGCGCCATTACTGACTGGCGGTGAAGTTGGTAAATTCACCCGACTACAAACAATGAAAAGTCACGAACTGGACATTCACTGATTAGCAGGGGTCACCAGCTAACGAAGGGTCTGTGTTCAAACCGGTGACAGGGTCACGACCTAAAAAAAACCCATGGGATTGCAATAAGTCTCCCATAGGCTACTCCTCAGTGAGTGAGTGAGTGAGTAAGTGAGTATGGTTTGACACCGCTTTTAGCAATATTCCAGCAATATCACGACGGTGGACACCTGAAATGGGTTTCACACATTGTACCCATGTGGGGAATCGAAACCTGGTCTTTGACGTGACGAGCCAACTCTTTAACCACTAGGCTACCCAACCGCCCCGCTACTCCTCAGCAGTGTAGATGTTATCTGCCCACGAGTGACAGGACCGTAACGGCTATGGGTGCCGGCAAGAGCCTGGCGATGTCAAAGGTTAACCTTGGAAGTTTCTACCAGAATAAACCTGTTACTTTTATCAAATGCCCGACAACCCTTTCACTACATATTTTGATGACTCAAGAGATTAATTTGATTAGCATATATGCAATTTTCATTTTTTACTTATGTTCTGAAAATAAAATCTTCAGCATGGTGATGTCAGCATCAAATAAGTGTACAACCCTAGCCCTGTTTTCACAGCCTGCCTGAAATATGAAACCCTGAATGAAACATTTAGCCAACTCACAGGCTTGTTTCTATGGAAACGCACCTCCTCTGGCCCCCTCACTGACACAGTGGGAAATTCAAATCAGAATTTATAAAAGAGAAATGGATTTTCAAAATGTATGTTTTGTAGGCTGTCTGCATTCATACATTTTACCGTGAGCCTTCATAACATACTTCTTTACACTGTGGCTTAATTTCATCATGAACCGGTAAGTCAATTTTGTGATATTTCATGGAATGTACTTGAATACTGCATTGCTTTGCATCGAAAGACAGCTTTCGACAAGGCAAGGAGGCCACAACCAATCTGTGTATATGAACTCCGGCCATTAAGAAGCCTTATAAAAACAGCCCTGTGAAGAGAGGCGCAATGGAGGCAGCGGAGAGCTAGAGTCATCAGAGAGGCACTGGAGAGCGCTGAACCCTGACCAGACCAAGACCAGCTGAGCAGTCCAGAAGACTCTTCTGAGAAAACCAACACAGTGGCGATCTAGCAGCTGACTCGGGAGAAGACACACCCGTAAGGACAAGCTGACATACCTGTGAACGTCTGAAAACAGCCTCTCTCAAGTCTCTGCCACGGCCTTTGTGATCACTGTAAGTCGAAGCGTAGTGTTGTTATAATAAAACACCTTGCTGAAAACCTTTGACCGTTCTGTTATCGTGCTACATAGGGAGCATATTTCTAGTGTGACCAGCAGACCAACTCTAGAAATATTTGTGTATAATTTGTGACACAAATATAATTTTTTATAAGAAACTGCCATTATTTATTTGTGCGTTTTCCCAGTTTGTTACAAGGGTGCATTGACAACTAAAGGAACTAGAGTTGGTCTGTCGTTTTTATTGCTGTCCGCGTTGGTTTGATTCTTTTATGTCTATTTGTTTTTGTGTTAGATTGCAATTCATCGGTATCACTTTGTCTCAAACGGGGTGTATTAAGTGCCGAAAGTCCAACAACATAGAACACAATGACTACCGACCGGCTGCTTTAACATCCGTTATTATGAAGTGTCTTACTTCGCCATCTCAAGATGGAATTGATATACTTGTATCGACCCTCTGCGATTCGCATATAAGGCAAACTGTAGTAACAGTGACAACAGGGAATTCGTCTTTTATTCCAGTACTGAAGAGGTCACATGCCCATAGTACAAAGTCAGATAACAATAACGGCATACAATCACAAAGTTTGCAGACATGTTTGTCTATATACAAAAGTGGTGGATATACATACCTAGGACACACCAACAAAACGTGGAACACGTCTTCAATTACATTTAAATTTTCAAAATTTAAACAATCTGTTTTCTTTTGGAATAGCATAATATCTTACCTTCTCGATCGTAAGAACATGTGCAGAACGTCTAAATCTGGTTAACGAAACGACGAATTTTAGAGGAGGTATTGCTCTACATTTAAAACTGATTTAAAAGTACCGTAAAAACTGGAGTTGAACGACTGCATTATATGACCTTGGACTAGTAATCTTTTTTGACAACAATACATTACTTAAAGCCACGGGACGGTGGGATAGCTTAATTTTTAAAGCGTCCGCTCGTCACGCTGGAGACCCGGTTTCGATTCCCGACATGGGTGCAATGTGTGAAGCCAATTTCTGGTGTCCCCGCCGTGATATTGCTGGAATATTGCTAAAAGCAGCGGAATACAATATTCACTCACTCACTTAACGCAAAATGTTTTAGTAAATTTCTAACATTCGTTAACCAATGTGATCTTCTGTGTCAAACAAACAGAGCTTTACCCAGTATTTGATAACTTACATGGATATTTGTGCTTATAGATAAAGTGGGAAGCACCCACATTCGCCACAAATCATCACATTTGGGGTATTTAATTTAACTCCCAAAACGTTTTGGACCACGCATAAAAGTGAATCTTTTCCAATGCTTCCAAACCAGAAAGTCTGTGCCCCATATTACAGAATTTTGATATCCAATATTTTGAAAAATGTCTTAAGATTTACATTGCCCTAGAGTGACAATAATACTATAAGTCAACATCTAGAGTTACTAATTAGCATTAGTATACACATGAGTCGCCGACTGGGCATCGGAATCATTTGAATCAGAATAGATGTACAGGAAAATTGTTAAGTTCAACACTGAACAGAACAAGTGATCTCTTACAACACAAGGAGGGTTTGTCAGCTTGACACAAACGATCAAATTAGTAACAGTAATAACACAAAGATCAGTACCAATGTTGATGGAAAAGAGTTCTCTATCCATGAGGAACTGTCCCTGTGATGGCCGTGTCCTTATGGGAATGGGTAGTTGAGGTAAACCCCCAAAGATATAGATATATTTATGTACCATCTTGTAGCACCCCCCAAACGTTCTTTGAACGGGGGGGCGGTGGGTTAGTCTAGTGGTTAAAGCGTTGGCTCGTCGCGCCGAAGACCCGGGATCGAATCCCCACATGGGTACAATGAGTGAAGTCCATTTCTGGTGTCCCCCGCCGTGATATTGCTGGAATATTGCTAAAAGCGGCGTAAAAGCAAACTCAGTCAGTCAGCCAGTCTTTGAACGGCAGAGCAGATGTGGCCTTCTCCATAAAATGTTCTAGAACATGTCCTCTTTCCAGAATTTATCGTATTCTGAAGATGCGTCTAAATCGCTGTAATATTGACTGCCTTTTTTTCGATGTTGGTTCTTCAATGATTGGTGCATACAAATTTCCAAGACACTTGGTCAAAATGTCTCCAGAGAGTTTCATGACATGTTCCAGGTTATTTTCAAATAGCTCCCCTGTAGTTCATCAGCCAGTCCCACACCACCACAGAGGCTATCTTGGACTCGGTCACAAGTTCCTTACAGTCCACTCGATGACCGACAACAAATATAGGCAAATCTGTTTCCATGCGCTTTTCTTTGATAATAATATCTTTGATCAGAGGCAGCACCTTGAAAGACTCTTTGTCCTCTACCAAGTGCATCAGAATGAAAGCATCACACGCTCCGATCTTTATGCGCAAACCTCTTTCAGAAACACTGTCTTGCGTTACATCAGCGATGTGAAAGATTACCTCACAGTCTTTGATGGTCCATTTATATTCGTTTTCGAAGGACATCTGACTTTCGCCCCATACATCCTGCAGTTGACTCAAGAAGGAACGTTTGCCAACACCAACCTTTCCTACAAGCATAACATGCAGTGCTGATTTTGGCGCGTAGGACAGGTTCATTGTTGTTGAGTTGAGTATTAACTTTAAGCTGTCTACACGTCCTCGTTTGCCGCCTTTAATAGTGTTCCTGTCAACGGACTGTCTTCCTATGCAGCATTTGTCGCCAGTCTTACATTTATACCCCGCTGTGTTTCCGTTACGTACACAAGGTGTTTTTCACAGCTTGCCTTCAAGCAATTTTTTGTTTGTTTTAGGGCACAACGCTGTTTAGTCTTAGTTGTTATTCTGGCAGCCTTGTTTTGTCTTTGGTTTTATAATGTGTTTATTAGCACCTGCTAGCTAACTGGGGGAGCGCACCAAGAACGTTTCATCACCTGCAAAGGGGTCCGTCCGCTCCATGGCAACAAGGCATCCGTGAAGAGACGTGGGTGATGGGTAACGCTAAGAGCTCTTCAACCCCTGTTGTGGACCCGGGGAGTATATTTGGTCCACCAACCCGTTTGACTTGGGTTGCGCCCTTGTGTCGGTGGAGGACGGGAGTCTGGTGGTTGAGGGCACTGGGAGCCTGAAACCGTGTTCCTTTTGCCCAACACACAACTTCGCCCCTTACTTCACCTAGACGGGTGGTAGAACTGGCCCGGTCAATCGGCCGGTCAAGCCTTGCCCTGTGCATGGACAACATACTTATTGCAATTATTGTACATGTTTGTACATTTGTGATAGTGGATGTTTGTATTTCAAATTATATACTATATGCTTGCCTAGAGTCTTATGCCAGAAGGCGATGGCTCATGGGCACTGGTTCCAGGAACAGAGTTCCTTTGCCCAACACACCACTTCGCCCCTTACTTCACCCAGACGGGTGGTTGAATGGGCGGGGTTCAACCAACCGGCCGGTCATGTCGAGCCATGTGCATCAATTGTATTTGCACAAATTATATTATGAACAATATTTTTGACTTTAGGTCATGGTTCATTTTTGTTTCTAAAACATCACTTGTTCTATTTAAACTGCCTAGAGAAGGCGATGGCTCATGGGCCAATCTGGTAGATTGATTACTTGTTTAATCTTTCTGCTTGAGTATATCATCCCAGTATCCATGGTGCTGCAAGTCGGAGATCCACATGTATATGGCATCGTCTTTATGACACTCCGTGGTGGGTGGGGAGCTGGGTTGATGAATCTTTTATACTTAAACATGCTCTTGAAACCCCCTTGAAAAAAAAGCGTCAACTTGACAATGATCATGAGGTTAATGAAGGCTGTCGATCTCTTAAACAAGTTCAGTACTGGCCGAGATTTCTGGTTCTAGAATCTCCAGACAAGCAACCCATAAAATTGAATCCATTTGCGATTTTAAAAGGAGTGTATGGTATAGCCGGTGATGTTAAGAATATCAAACGTATGAGGTCCGGATCACTTATAATCGAATGTGCCAAAAGACAGCAAGCTACCAACTTACTATCTGTTGATACATTGGCTGGATTCCCCGTTTCAGTATCTGTCTACAGGTCACTTAATTCAAGCAAAGGCATTGTAAAGGACCGTGATCACCTCCTAGATGATATGTCCGAGCTTGACAACCGCATATTGCTGACAAAAGACAATAGGAATCCCATAAGGAGCACCACAGTTTGCGGTGTCATTGACGTCTAGGCATAACGTTCTCATTTCGTTTTCATATGTGAAATGTGTGAGTGAGTTTAGTTTTACGCCGCACTCAGCAATATTCCAGTTATATGGCGGCGGTCTGTAAATAATCGAGTCTGGACCATATACTCCGGTGATCAACATCATGAGCATCGATCTACGCATTTGTGTACGATGACATGTGTCAACCAACTCAGCAATCCTGACCGCTCGATCCTGTTAGGCGCCTCTTACGACAAGCATGGGTTACTGAAGATCAGTTCTAACCAGGATCTTCATGGTTGTGAAATGTGTCTTAAAACAATAACCCCCAAACCACGCTCCTGTGATCCACCACAGATCAAAGCGTCCACGCGCCAGTGATCCACCATGGATCAAAACGTCCACACGCAAGTGAGCTACCATGGATCAAAGTGTCCACGCTCCAGTAATCTACCACAGATCAAAGCACCCACGCTCCATTGATCCACCACAGATCAAAACATCCCCACGCCAGTGAGCCACCATGGATCAAAACGTCCACGCTCCGGTGATCCATCACAGATCAAAGCATCCACGCTCATGTGATCCACCACAGATAAAAGCATCCACGCTCCAGTAATCCACCACAGATCAAAACGTCCACACTCTTGTGATCCACCACAGATCAAAGCGTCCACACTCCAGTAATCCACCACAGATCAAAGCGTCCACACGCCAGTGAGCCACCATGGGTGAAAGCGTCCACGCTCCAGTAATCCACCACAGACCAAAGCGTCCACGCTCCAGTGATCAACCACAGATCAAAGCGTCCACACTCCTGTGAGCCACCACGTTTTGAAATTCGTTTTTCATGCATAAACGGATGACTGTTTCAGACTGTGGAAAAGCTTTCATTTGGGAATTCCCTAAGTTGACATCAGTAAGAATGTCGACATCCAAACAAATGATTTTGACCAAGAAGTATTATGAATTAACGAAATAGTCAGTTCTATCGATGATTAGATATAAGGTACAACGTGTTTTTGATCAAAAAGCCAATTCTATCCCACTGACTTGCAAATCTGGACAAGCAAAAGAATATTGAATTAGCGTGAAGAATTCGCCTCGCCAGGCGCGGCTTCCGTGTATTCAAACATGTGACAGGGCGAAAGTTTTCTTTTATCAGACCATTGAGGAACATCACATGTGTCCACGAGAGAATTGAAACAGTCACGTAATGGTGTTTGGACACAGGGGAACAGTTTCCAGTACCGGTTTGGAATGCCATCAGACCCAGGAGCTATATTAGATTTGGACTTTTTCATAACACTTTTCAGGCAATTTGGTGCGATGTAACAGACAAATGACCTAGTTATTTTCTCATGCATTGCATAATCCTAATCATTGACCCATGGTGCCTCCATGGTCCATGGTGACCACAACTGTTTCCAGAACCATGGGACGACGCTTATCATGCTCACCATCACACTTTGTTTTGAGTTGCCTTTAAAGATGCTTCTCACTGTTTTTAAACAGTTTATTTTGTCTGATACATTTGTTCTTTACGCATTCTTTTCTTTCTTTCAGTCCAAAACTTTAATTTTACCGTAAGGGAATCGACAATTTGGAGAAGTATGTTTTGGTTTTTTTTGTCTTATATTGCAATTTCAATTTTCTCCAAGTTGTCTTTTGCCTTTTTGACAGCGCTATCCAGGAAATGTTTCTACTAGTTTCATTAAGTTTTACTAGAAACCGTTTTTTCTTTGGTCTGATGTTATTATCATTAGATGTTTTTTCTTTGGAAACTGTGTGAATTTCCTCCAAAGTTCGAGCGGCAGCACAGACACAACAATTAACTTCTTATAATGAAGAGTCTGCAGAAAGTTTAAGAGGAATAACTTCATTCAGTAAATCAACTGAATGTTTGGTAAAAGACACGTTTAGTTGTTTAATTGGCCTCCGTTTTTGTAAAGGTAAATAACAAATTTCCTCATAAACAAAATGTAAACAGGAAGGAGATGAGGGCGGGTCAGAAACTTCGGGGCCAATTGGTTCTATTGCCTGAAGAGTTTACATCAGGAGTTATCATTATTATAACCATAACAAATCTACCAACCAAATCTAACTCCCTCTGGAGAGTCAGCATCGAACCCGGCACTACGCAAACTCAGCGGAGGGGATCATTTTCACTACCTGCGTGGGATTAATGAAACATGAATGGACTTTTGCTTTTCTAGCATGCCTGTAGCTGGGGAAAGCAGTTCCTCTGGCCTGATACACTGGCAAATATAAAAAAGGATTCCAAAAAAAGTAATATGTTTTCAAACTGTATGTTTTGTAGACTGTCCGCATTAATACGTTTTGCAGTGAGTCTTCACAACATCCTTGTGTCTGCTTTGCCTCAATAACTTCCTAAACTAGTTAGTCTTCTTTTTTTAAATTTCATGCAATTGAAGACAGTTTTGACAAGATAATATGGTCACACCCCATTTGTGTATAGGTTTGAACCCTGGCTTTTAACACACCACAACTTAGTTCACTGTATCTCTGGTCAGGCTCGCTGAATTGATTGACAAATGTCATCGTATCAATGTTGATCACTGGATTAGCTCGTCAAGACTCGTAAATATTTACAGACCACCTTACAGCTATAATATTGCTGGGTACGGCGTTAACAACAAAAAGACAATTCATCGACAGTGTTAAAAAACATCTTGTTGATGATAGTTAACGAGTCACGCGTGTCAAAAACAGTAATGCAACCGTTTCCACATCTGCAAGAAATTAACTGGAAACTTCCGACTATATCATGAGCAAGTCTTTGCGAGTGAGAGAGTATCGTTTTACCTCGATTTGTGCCCATGCAGGGAATTGAACTCGGCGAGCGAACGCTTTAACCACTTGGCTACCCCATCGTCCCCGACGGTGAAGGAAATGTACATCTGTAGAGTGAGTGAGTGAGTTTAGTTTTACGCCTCGCTCAGCAATATTCCAGTTATATGGCGGCGGTCTGTAAATAATCGAGTCTGGACCAGACAATCCAGTGATCGACAGCGTGAGCATCGATCTGCACAATTGGGAACCGATGACATGAGTCAACCAAGCCAGCGACCCGTTAGTCGCCTCTTACGACAAGCATGGGTTACTGAAGATCAGTTCTAACCCGCACCTTCACGGGTTGTACATCTATAGAAGGTGCTGGGGGTAAAGATTCCTCTTCGGAAGGGATTTATGATGACAAGAGGTACACAGTATGTTTGCTGACAACAGTAAACTGACCAAGGAGATAGCATTCCGGACATACCAGACACTTATTGAAGCAAGGTATTTTGAATATATGAACTTTTAAGGAAAGTCACTTTAATTGGGGGCGGTGAGGTAACCTAGTGTTTTAAACGTTTGCTTTACCGGGTCCGATGTGTGAAGCCCATTTCTGGTGTCCCCCGCTGTAATATTGCTGGAATATTGCTGTAAGCGGTGTCAAACCATACTCACTCACTCACTCACTCACTCGCTACAGTAATGGTTTCAGACGGGGAATCCCATCACATTAATACTCCTTTCAGAACAGTTGGTGTCATTAATTTTCAGTACTCATTTCAAGGAGCTTTCAACACCATGTGGCCTTAATACCCAACTAAATCAGTCTCAGTAAATATTCGAAATTCATTTTTCTCTGGTGTTGATGCTTTCAGGTGGATGTTTACAGTCTTTTAAAGTGTTATAGTGTCGGTTTGGTTTTTGTTGTTGTGTTCAAAATTATTTTGAAATAGTGTGGAAATAGTTTAAATCCTGGTTCGGATAGAGTGCACGCATTTAGACAGGGATCTGTTTGTGTCAGTCTCAATCACTGCATGGTGAGTGAGTATGGCCGTTCCAGCAGTATCACGACTCCAGAAATGAGTTTCACACAAACTTCCCTCTTGACGTCAAACACAAACTCCCTCACTCGCTGGTAAAATGAAAACAGAAGTATATTATTAAAGGAGTGACCGGTTGAATGACCGCTGCTCCAAACTCAACACACCTTTCATTGACTGGCGCACATTCAGTTTACTGCAATAAACGGCATGAAGAAGCAGGTGCAGAATGTACCAGCTGAAAACGTTTGCCAATTTATTTCAGCTTTCTCTTCTGTTTTATATAATGAAGATACCCCTGAACCCGAAAAGTGACTGTCTCTTTAGTAGCGCGTATAGCCACCTTGATCTTTCTCTTCTGTTTTATATATGTTTTTGTTCCATGTTTCCATGGGAGCCATATCGGCCTTAAATTTGTTCCCGCCTTAGTGTGTGCTGATGGTAATATTTTACATGAACAATCGGGAAATGATGTGAATAAATTGTTTAAAATTCTGAATATTTGGTGTAAAAAAATGGGCATTGATATTAATGTAGATAAGTCACATATTGTACTTTTTAGAAATCTTAAAAAATACAATTATATTTTCACTATTGATAACTGTTTTAAGCATTGCTAATGGCTCCTGCTATGCGGGTTTACTATTAAGGGAGCAACTTGACTATAATCTTATTTTTGTTAGTTTAAGACAATATGAGGTATGCATTTTAACACTTATTCATCGGGTTATATTTTTTTCGGAGTAGTAAAATATGCAATGAATATTGCCCGCAATGGGTACGTATTGTGGGTCCCTCCTAATGTCCAGCTATGTTTATCCAAAGTTAAGTACAATGGTGCATTTATTTTTACATGGCTAATTGATTACATAAACATGTTTCGTCTTTAAGTGAGTTTAGTTTTACGCCGCACTCAGCAATATGACGTCGGTCTGTAAATAATCGAGTCTGGACCAGACAATCCAGTGATCAACAGCATGAACATCGATCTGCGCAACTGGGAACCGATGACATGTGTCAACCAAGTCAGCGGTTCCCTGACCACCCGATCCCGTTAGTCGCCTCTTACGACAAGCATGGGTTGCTGAAGATCAATTCTAACCCCGATCTTCATGGGTCGATTAACAGCATGAACATAGATCTGCGCAACTGGGAACCGATGACATGTATCAACCAAGTCACCGAGTCTGACCACCCGATCCCGTTAGTCGCCTCTAACGACAAGCATAGTCTCCTTTTGTGGCAAGCATGGACTGCTGAAGAC